GGTGGTGGTGGTGGTGGTGGTGGTGGTGGTGGTGGTGACAGCGGCGGCGGCATGAGTATTGATGCACGGGCATCCCTTGCTTTCATGTTAGTCGAGTGCACGAACATTCCCTAGACGAAATGATCCTAGAAGAGGGCGACAAACGAAGTTACCGATACAAGCGAAGATGCGAGTGCCACGAATTAGTTGATCAGAAGAAGAAGAAGAAGAAGAAGAAGAAGAAGAAGAAGCGATCGCTGGAACAAGGTCTTTATTCGCCTTTTTCCAGCGATCGCTTCTTCTTCTTCTTCTTCTGTTAAACGAAGTGTAGGTTGTCCCGAATTTCGCCTTATAGTTCCACGAAGTAGGGCGAGGTTCAGACAAGGGACAAAATGTTTGGAATACAGGCCGGCACTTATGCAAAATTTGCACATTTAAATGTGACCTAACTCCCAAGACATGGACACCTAAAGCATTGTGCGTGTGACTTCTTCGCGCAAAATATCTTTTTTCATACAGATCCTGTTTCTACGTAATTTTTGAGGCAAAATGTCCGTTAGTTTCAACGAAAATCTACGTTACATTATCTTCGGGCAATTTTCTATGTTAATTATCACCTTAAACTGAGCTTGCGCACCAGAGCCTAGAGACATCTAACCTGAAGCGTTCTACCAAACAAAACCTGCCGCACTTTGATATTGATATTCCCCGTCTAAGTCGGCCGAAACAGGACGTAAGCGGGCAGTTTTTTTGGAAACCCAGACTTTTCCGTCGATGTTGAAAATTCGGGCTTGTACTTTGGTGTGATTTATGCACTAAAAGCAGAACTAACGTCTGTAGGCAATCCTTTGTCCAAATGTATCCATATCGTCTTGTCGTGTTGAAATATGCCATAAGTAACCGTGGAAAGCCCATAACCAAACGTCCATTCAAGTTTCTGAGCATAGAGTATGATATTTTTGGGCCGTCTAGTCTCTGCTACAGTCAGTAACCTATCTCATGAAATTTTAATCTAAATTCTGAGATGCGTTGCCGATTAGGCAGGAGTACTTAGATAGAACTGCGTTAGTGATCATCCTGCGGTAAGGTCCCATAATATTTTGGACTTGCCGGAACGTTGGCTTCTGAATGGACTTCTCTGAGACTTCCTGTAAAATCGGCGCTCGGTAAAAAGGGGTTGTTTAAGTGGTGAGATTTTTCACATTGATTTTGATGCCCCCGTAAATTCAAGTGTATTCTGTAAAAAGCATTAACAAAAATATTATTTTTTTGCACTCAGTTACTGGAAAATAACGCCTTATTTAAGGTTTAGTATCAAACCACGCCTAATTTAAATTCTGCATTCAAAAAACGCCTTTTGATTTAAAAAGTCTTCCAGTTATGATATTTTTTAAGACCGTGTAATGTCTATCATGCACACAGCACCTGTACGTTTATTAATACTTCTCACGAAGCATACACCATAGTCCACGTCAAATGAAAAAATTCATGAGCTTTACATGAAATCTTCTTAAAGACATTGAAGGGGTATATGATTTTCTTACGCGGAAAAGACACACTTTGTAGGCTGAAAACGCTAAACGTAATTGCAAAATCACAACGGACTCTAAACCAGCCAGGAATTGAAAAGAAGATGAAAACAGAAAGTACTCTTTCTTTGAACGTAAAAATTAAAGGGAGCCTTATTTTCTACCGAATGGGTAGAAGTTAAAATATTGTAGTGCATTTCTTTGAAAAATGTGTTTGGATATGTACGGATATCGAAAATCAATGTGAAAAAATCATGCTATGCAAACGACCACTTTTGCCGAGTTCTGTTTTTACAGGAGATCGAAAATTAGTGCATTCAAAAGCCAATGTTCTGGCGAGCCCGAAATATTAGGGGACTGTGCCGCGAGACGATCAGTCTTACAACCACACTAAAGTCCTAATCAGAAACGTATTTCAGAACTTCGATCAACATTTCACGAGATCAGTCACTGACTGTAATACATAATTTAGAAACGGAATGTGCTGAAGCGTTTAGTGTGACCTATAAGGTCCCATCGAGCTATCCCAAACCACTGGGACAGCGCCTGTTAGCAACAGCAGAGGCGGCCGCCATAAGGTTGTGAAAACCAATCTTGTGCACTCTCACCCCGCCCCTGACACTGACTGCTATTACCCCTCCCCCCACCCCACATTCCCACACTCAGCCTGTGTTTTAAGGCGAACTTTAATCGATTTATCTTATTACTGACGTGCTTTTACTTCTACCCCCTTCCCATATAATTGTACTGGCCCGACGAGAATTTATCGAAAGCTACGTATGCTCGCCACCTCGTCTTCTGATTACTGCTATGGGAATTTTCGCAACTCTAAAAATATTTTTGGATATAAATGGATATCAAAAATCAATGTAAAAAAATCAGACTACGTAAACGACTACTTTTGTCGCGTGCTGTTTTTAAAGGAGGTCGAAAATAAGTGAGACAATCAGTCCTTCAACCACACCAAAGTCCTAATCAGAAACGCATTTCAGAACTTCGACCAACATTTCACGAGATCGGTTAGTGACTGTAATACCTAGTTTAGAAAATGAATGCGAAGAGTATAGGCAGCTTCGGCAATGTGCCACTATTTGCACGGCCACTCTATTGTGCATTTATAATCGCAAAACGAAGTCTAAAAGAGGGTCATGATGGTAAAAATGGCCCCAAATATAAAGGGGAAAGTGCGTTCTTTTGTTTGCAAAAGAAGGATAGGCTGAGTTTTCCAGTGAAGTGCAAAGCCATTCAAGAAGGTTAATTTTTTGACCTTAGAGGAAACTAAAGTACGTAAAGATACAGCAGCTCAGTATCCTATTGAAGCGTCCTCTGTTAAGGCAACTTGTTGGCGAAGGCTTATCGACTGACAAAAGGCATACGCGATTCATACCTTCGCTTTTGACATCCATTCCATGTAGATGGGGATGTGTATGTTAGCATGTATAGTAACTAATCTTTGAAACGAAAACGCATTTCGAGACTTCGGTTAGCATTTCATGAGTCAGCACACCTACTGTATATACACATGTAGTAGATGCGCTATCTCACAAAATGTTAACAGAAATTCGACAACAGTAGAGTGAAAAACCACATCTAACTGTCGCTAGACTGTGGATTGTGTCTCATGGGCTTTTATCTTGGCATCCATTTGCAGGCCATTACAGACGTTACAACAATTACTCCCCATGACCTCAAACCATTACTTAAACTCTGTTATCCTTTGAAAATTTATTTATCAAAGCGCGCAACAAGACTTTCAGCAGAAACCTAAATAATTCCTGTGCTTTTTGAGTTTCGTCAGCTTACTGTCTGGCGTGATGCCTCATACGTAGAAGCCCGATTACCACAATTCCCGTATGACACGATCTACAGTCTACCGACAACTAATTGGAGTCCCTCAGTCTACCGTTGTCCGAAATTCCGACACGCCTTTGTAATTCAAAAAATCGCTCAAGCACGATTGTCGCTTCATTACAAGATATCCCAGTCAAGCCAAGATGTCGGCTTTCGAACGAGCTTCTTATCGGCTGCTTGGGTGAACAACGTTCCTTAAAAAATCTGTATATAAATAGGAGGAATTTTCCCCATTGAATTTCGATGCCTTTATAAATTTAAATATATATATTTTTTAAAAGCGCATAAAAAATTTTTCTTACCCATACTCATGTGGCACCAAATTACGCCTTCGTCAAATTTTATTCCTGATAAATGAATCATTCGATTTGAAAAAATTTCCCGATTTCCGAATGATTGTGAACCCGGCTTACTGTTACACGTACATTCAGAGTTTCCGAACTTCAAGTTGTATACTTTCCATACGGGGAATGTCATATTTTTCTGTACTTCTCTAAGAAGAAGTCATATAGCACTCATAAAGTTTCGTAATGAATATGGACCATGCTGTCTATTTTATGAGAGGTACTAATAAATTTTCCGATACAGTGCTACATGATCGGACATTTCACGGTCTTGAAAAATCTCATAATTAGAAGCCATTTTAAAACCAAAAGATATATTTTTCGAGTAAAAAAACTTGTAGAATATTAATTCGTACCAAAGGAGCAGAAAAATATTTTTGTTTTAAAAACTTTTCAATCTCTGGGCAATTATAAAGCCGACGTACCGCTACGCTTCCATTTAGGGTTTCCAACCAACCAGATGTGCTCCCTTTATAATGAAAAAATTGCACATTTCTATACGCTGTTAAAAAGTGCCATATAGGGCCCGTATAATTTTGTGATGGATAGTCACGTGCTGATGCGACGCAGTATGACTGAACATGTAGCGATTTAATAAAATCTCATAACTGGAAGCTTTCTTAAAACTAAACATCACTATTTCTTTAAAATGAAAACCTGAACGAGACGTAATTTGCTACCAAATATTTGCAAAAGGTTTTTTTATGTAAGTTTTCTATAAAATACGTTCGAATTCATGGGAACGCCAAAAATAAATGGGAAACACTCATACCACTTAAGTAGCCATTTTTGCAGGCGGCCAGAACGGAACTCGTACGAAAGTCGGCATTCTGACGTGGCTGAAATGTCCTTGGATTAGACTTTACGATCATTAATACTACATTTCTACTTAAGCAATCTTTTTAAATGAAAAATGAATTTCAGAATTTCGTTTAACATCTCATGGAATATTACACCTACTATAGTTGTTTTTGTGCCTGATACAGGCCAGACGGGGGTCCACACCGCGTCAGCCATTGAGTCCACTACCACCGCCAGTCGACTTGACTTTCATTTTTCCCTCGCATATGGTCAGGCCTAACCAGCTGGGATGATGATGATGATGATGATGATGATGATGATGATGATGATGATGATGATGATGATGATGATGATGATGATTATGATTATGATGATGATGAGCATTTGAATTATTACGATGCGGCGGCAGTCGTGGATTTGAAGGTTGTAGAGTGAACGTACAGTTGGTGGGCTAACTCATGAAATGCCAACCGGAATTTCGAAATGCGTTCTCGTTTTGAAAAGATTAATTAACTATGGTTGTAAAACTGATCAGCGTCCAAAATAATTCTATAATTATCTAGTTACCACAGGGTGTGTTCATTCAAACGAACTTATTTACGACTGCATGTAAGAACTATACTTTGCAAAAAATGACTACTTAAGTAGCATGCAATTTTCCCATTGATTTTCGATCCCCTTAAAAATTTAATTATATTTCATGGAGAACGTGCATAACATATTCCTTCTTTTATTTGTTCGGTAGAAAATAATGTCTTCTTTCCATTTTATAATTAAGGGAGGGGTATAGTTTGGTTTCAAAAAAGTTTCTAATTGTGAGATTTTTTAATACCGTGAAATGGCCGTTCATAAAACGTCACGTCTCTGCATTTGCCAATGTGGCTTGTAAAGTTCACAATATTGCTCAAATCCACTGTTTAATTTTATGAACCCCTTATGGTCTCCTCTTAATATCATAGAGAAATGTATGGTTTTCCGTACACGGAAAATATACGGCTTGTAGTTTTGAAACCCTGAATGCATGTATAACAGCAGGTCGGGTTCACAATTACTCGAATTGTACTCTTCTTTCGGGTATAAATTTGGAATAAGACGTGATTTTCTACAGAAGGTGCAAAAGAATGAATATTTTTATGCGTGGTTTCCATGAAATATAATTGAATATTTAAGGGCATCGCAAATCAATGAGAAAAATGCATGCCACTTAAGTAGTCATTTTTTGCAGAGTATAGTTCTTGCATGCAGTCATAACTAACTTCAGTCGAAAGCCGGCACCCTGCGGTAACTGGATCATTATAGAATTATGCTGCAAGATGATTAGTTTTACAACCCTACTTAATGAATCTTTTCGAAACGAGAATGCATTTCGAAATTTCGGTTGACATTTCATGAGTTAGTCCACCTACTGTACGACCGCGGATCAGGCCGCATTGCCCCTTATTAATATGCCTTTTGTGCCACTCTCTCTCCTCAGACCCCCTCCCTTCTCCTGAATTCCGGTCCATCTTATACGTGGCACGCGTAGATGGTTCATTTAACTCTGTAAACCACAACGCCCACTCACACTTCCAGTCGTCTTGACTATGTTTTGACACAGCAGGGGGGAAATAAAGAGCGAGGCCGATGACGCACAAGTTTGTCACTACGAATCAATTCCATCGCAAGTTACCACTGCGTTTTCGGACGCTGGTAAACTTTATTGCTACCGAATTACCAATTGGCGTCCAGGCACGGATGCGGTTTATGGCAGGGTTTGGAAACTTGGTGACTATCGAAATTACCATCAGTGTCGGCGAAGGATGTCGGCAAAAGTTCTGCTTCGGAGAAGTTAGACCATCATGTCTTGAATGAAGTACCGAATGATGGCGGTTTCGCCATACTTCCAAAGGCTCAGAGACATGTTTCGCAAGTGGTTCTGCCATTTTATGGATGATGTAGCGTTAAGTTTAAAAATTAGTGGGGTGAATGATTAAGAATAGGTGTTGATAGCAGGCTTTTTCAAGGGCAGTCTCGAAATTATTATGAACCGGGTGGCACTGTAAGATGAAGCTCCCTGTCATGTACAAACTCACAGAGAATGCTATGCGTACTAGAGCTTTTCAGCACTTCTTTGAGTAGATGACAACAGATGGTGGTTAGAATGTTGAAATAAAGCGTCAATGAAGGTCTTACATGTCTCCTACGCTGGGGAGTGAGAAAGGCAGTAGAGGTCGAGGGCGATGCATCCTCACTCGTATTCGTTGATATCAGTCAAATCGCTCAAGGGGACCGTTCGGCCGCCACGAACGGGGCCCACAGTGCGGTAGACGCGGCACCACTCACATGAGCATGAATGGGTCTATAGTGAGCTGAGGATTTGCGCACAACCAATCACGCTCTCTCGCCCAACACCTCACCTCTCCGGGCTGCGATGGCAAGAATATCTCAGGGCCACAGAAGGTGGTCTCAGACGCAGTGACGAACAAAGCCGGACAACTCATCTGCGCGCTCCACACGCGACCCCATCTCCACACGACATGCCGATTTTCCGCGGAAAAAGAAAGGTTCCGCAAATACTCCCATGTTACACTTGAAAAGTCAAGTCGGCGAGCACGTGTTTTCGGTCCTAATTCGTCAGGCCAATACAGTTACATGAAGGAATGAAAATGTACAAAATCAACAGTGTTTATAGGTGTCTCAAGGGCTATTAAGTCATTAACACTCATCATTCCCACGCCGCCCGCATGACGAGATTGACGGGCTTTGGTCTTCAGGCCTCGGGGGGGGGGGGTGGTAAGAGAGTCTTTGACTGATGATCTTGGACTGAGTACACGGAGTGCCCATCACCGTGATTAGGGATTTGAGGCGGCATGTCATCATCACTTGGGGTTGGCGTTGGCCACGACAGAGAGAGCGCCAGTGTCAGCGTTTTCTGACAGCATAACACCGGATTCACTAGCCGTATAGCCACTACCTTGGCCGTTGCTAGTATCCGTTGGCGTAGGCCTTTAGAGAAGCATGTTGGTTCCCGGTAGACAACCTGAAATGCTTTCTTGGCACCGTCTCGGTGATTCGTATTGATTAATTGTGCGAGAAAAGAACTCGAAATCGAACGGGTCTCACCTCTGTCTAGCCAGGCGGGCATATGTTCACGCACCCTCTTTACCAGGCGTCTCGTTGTACGGCCGATGTATCCTGCTCCACAGGAGCAAGTGAATGAGTAGATGCACATTGATGTGGCCTCCAACGGTAGTCTGTGTTTACCTCCCAAAAGTAGGAGGGGAGAGTTTGTGAAACATACGCATAAATTTGCTGCCTGATAGCTGTAGTTAAGCACCGCCTGACTAGTTCGCTCGCTGCGTCCCCTGCAAAAGGCAGTCTTATGAATACCTCTTTCTTCCCCGCAGTCGCAACAGTGGGTTTTGCGGCGCGTTCTCCAATATTTCGGAGGACAAATCTGTCTGGGTATCCGCTCTCGTGAAGTGTGTTCCGAAGCTGTTGAAGTTCTTCTTCAATAGCTTCAGGCGAGCAGATGCGTCTCACTCTAGCCGCCAGGACGGATCGAATCCCATCCGAAAGGGGGGAGCCAGTCATCTCACAAGATCTGGGTTGTCCAGTCGACTGTCTGTCCTCCAGACCGCAAATTTTGCGCCTCGTGGTATTTTTAAAACGCGTAGGATTCATTATGGTAAGGCATGCGTGGAGATAGACTCCCGGCGTCGACCGCACTCTCTCTTTTCCATGCAGCAGTCTGCCGTCTGAGTCGGTCAGTCATAAGCGCCCTCAGTAAACCAGTGCTCAGTCGGGAAACACACAGTCAGTCCTACCACATCGATATAACTAAGCGATTACGTAACACAGTAAAGGGTGAGGCCGCTGGAGAAGAGTCAGAAAAATCTCGCATTTTGTACTGCGATAAAGCACTAACTCACTCTTCTCTTCGCATGCTACAGTCTTTGGCGAAAAATCAGTTCATTGTAGTGTCAGGGTTCCTGCCGCGCATTAGTATTGTAGTCATTCTGAATATGCAGCAGTATCTTAAATCAAGTCGATGCCCTAAGACTGAGTACTCTCCCGAAAATGCTTGATTCGACCAACTAATTCCTCCTGACCCGTGTACCACACAGGCTTGTTTTGCAAGACTTTCTAATTTTCTAGTCAGCTGGCACTGACCTCGTCCACTCTCCTTCCATTCAACCGCGGACACCGGCGTCCCCTACCACTTAATATAATCGTGCACTCCGTTTCCCAGGCAACACGTCCAGTCGCCGTCACGACTTCATCCTGACAGAGTCGAATCCAAACGCCCATTTACTGAGAGGGAACTGTATAAAAAACTACCGGCTAGGAATTCGTAAACGATTTTGTGCCGGGAAACATAGACCCGAGCATCCAATGAGAATGTGGGATCAGACATCATTCGGCTTCCAAGTAGACACTGAGGTTTTTGGCTTTGGTAATATCGTTTATACGACCCAAAATAATTCAGGACGCAATTTGTATTTCAGATGACAGCATCTCTCTCTCCCACAAAAACAAGCAGGTGGATAAGTAAGGGACCAAATTATACTGAGACTGGATAAGGTAAGCCAGCTGTTAGCGGTGTGCATAAACTGCAAGCGCAAATCTTGGGCATATGCAAAATCGTGGTCCCCCTTTAGAGGTCTCAAATGTTGCCCAGCAGAGAAGATGGGTGGAATGAAATAAAACTGGGGCAGGAGACAACGTTATGGAGGAAAGATTAGTGGATAAGAAGTAGGTGCGATCGCCGGAACAAGAACTTTATTCGCCTGACGTCTCGGATTCACGCTCGAAGCCATCATCAGAGACGGTAACAGATACGCGTGATTCGGGCACCAGAATAAGCGGTATTTATGGGGTGAGGTTGCTATGTTATTGCTTACCTAAAATAATTAGCAAGTCTCCCCTTCATCGAGAATGGTTGCCCTCTGGTGCGAAAATTGCTTGATGACCGACATGTGAGTCGTTTATTGATGAAATTTCGTCGTCCCTATTGCATGTTGGCGTGACGATGGCTCCGGCTACCTGGCTCACCAGCCTGTGCGCTCCCCGAGTGACTAATTACTCTGATCAAACTAAATATCATCATCTGCTATTGGGTGGGGAGGTCATTGCACTTGTTGATATACTGGGGTCCCGTGAAACATGATTAAAGCAACTCGCGGCTCACGCGATTATCCCCTCTCGCTAGAATTTCGGCCTCACCGAACTTGACTGTGTGACCGGGCATCGTCAAGTGGGCCACGGCTTGAGACTTGACGTCATTTCTCCGCACTGCCGCCACGTGTTCGGTGATTCGCGTCCAGAGCAGTCTTCCAGTTCGACCGACGTAATTGCTCTCCCCGCAACCGCATCAGATCCGGGAAACGACTCAGGATGTTTCAGGCCGTGGCAGTGGACCTTTTGGTCTAACTATCTGACGCCTAATGGTTCCACTTTACCTTGGCTGCATAAACCTTCCCATGTCGGTGGTCGTGGCACCTTACAGAACAGCCCCAAAACGGCGTAGTGGGCCCTCGTCTCTCACCCGAGCGCTGGGAACGGATCTTTCCTGGGCAGCGCTACGAACCGTCTACGTCACTTCCTCTGGCAGACATCGTCGCCCTGTAAGTTCTTCGACTACTAACACATTCTTAGTCAGCAACTTATAAATCAGCGTCAACTGTCCTTATAAATATGTGAGCTGCCTCGATCTGGAACTTAGTTGTTAATGAAAGTACAGCTCAGTGGAGCGTAGTTTGCGAAAGATACCCGTGTTGTCTCTCCTCACCCACAGACTGACTGATGTTTGAGCATGTACGCAATTATGACACGGTCTATGCAGGCAGCACCTTAACCAGACAGGTGAATTAAGGTAATCAATAGAGACCCGAAAAGCCCATTATGATGACGTATCATAACGTAACCACCAGATTTTCCGCGAGTCTTCCATATTTGTGTCAAGCAAAACCCAGCTTTCATGAAAGGGGAAGCCACGAAGCCCAGCCCCAGAAGCCCAATACCAGCCTCCTACTGAACCAGGCAAGTAGAGATTAAGAGATGAAAAAATTCGACAGGATGGGTACTTCTATTGGTTAAATTCAAGGTACTGACAGAATTTATGAAGAAGCACGTTCCATAGGCGGCGAAAGGGAGCGAAAGGGGCAATAACAGTGTATGGGTGAGAACACCATTCGGCAAACCAAGACGATTTGCTTAGAAGCACTTGCGGTGGACGATGCCGGGGCCAGACTCATCGTACTCCTGCTTGGAGATCCACATCTGCTGGAAGGTGGACAGAGAGGCCAGGATGGAACCACCGATCCAGACAGAGTACTTGCGCTCCGGAGGAGCCACAATCTTGATCTTCATGGTGCTGGGGGCCAGCGAGGTGATCTCCTTCTGCATACGATCGGCAATGCCCGGGTACATCGTAGTGCCACCAGACAGCACAGTGTTGGCATAGAGGTCCTTACGGATGTCCACATCGCACTTCATGATGGCGTTGAAGGTGGACTCATGGATACCGGCAGATTCCATACCCAGGAAGCTGGGCTGGAAGAGAGACTCAGGACAACGGAAGCGCTCGTTGCCGATAGTGATGACCTGACCATCGGGCAGTTCGTAGCTCTTCTCGAGGGAGGAGCTGGAGGCGGCAGTAGCCATCTCCTGCTCGAAGTCGAGAGCCACGTAGCAGAGCTTCTCCTTGATGTCACGCACGATTTCTCGCTCGGCCGTGGTCGTGAAGCTGTAGCCACGCTCAGTCAAGATCTTCATGAGGTAGTCGGTGAGATCACGACCGGCCAGATCCAGACGGAGGATGGCGTGGGGCAGAGCATAGCCCTCGTAGATGGGCACACTGTGAGTGACACCATCACCCGAGTCCAGCACGATACCGGTGGTACGACCGGAGGCGTAGAGCGACAGCACGGCCTGGATGCCGACGTACATGGCGGGTGTGTTGAAGGTCTCGAACATGATCTGAGTCATCTTCTCACGGTTGGCCTTGGGGTTGAGTGGAGCCTCGGTGAGGAGGACAGGGTGTTCCTCAGGGGCAACGCGGAGCTCGTTGTAGAAGGTGTGATGCCAGATCTTCTCCATGTCGTCCCAGTTGGTGACGATGCCGTGTTCGATGGGGTACTTGAGGGTCAGAATGCCACGTTTGGACTGAGCTTCGTCGCCGACGTAGCTGTCCTTCTGGCCCATGCCCACCATGACGCCCTATAAACATAAGAGTCAAAAGTAGAGGATGTTGAACTGAACATCGAACGCAAATGCAGTTAATTGCCACTGTGGTTAATCACGACTCAGTGATATGTGCTCACCTGATGACGCGGGCGACCAACGATGGAGGGGAAGACGGCGCGAGGGGCATCGTCTCCGGCGAAGCCGGCTTTGCACATGCCGGAGCCATTGTCGACAACAAGAGCCTGGACTTCCTCATCACCCATGTTGAAGAAAAGTGTGTGGTCAAGATAAGACGGAGAGGATGGACGTGCTTCGCTGGCGGGCGGCCGCCTCCTAGAGCCTTTTATATGCAGACACTGGGACAAATGTCCATATATGGCAGTTTCCAAATTCCCACAATGCGCCACACCATTCACCTTCGCGCTGATTGGTCGGCCAATCGACTGCACACCCTCTCCAGTCAGCACACGTCCGACTGGAATGTTTCCCTTCGACAGCCTCCGACCAATCGCTGTCGAGGGACTGTTTTGGGGGCTAACGATTGTGCAATATGTGTGCACGACGCTGCCAAAGCATGTGCCGTGCAGTCCCGGGCATAGTCTCTGGGGATAGGCAGAATCCTTTGGAATGCATAAAATACTGCCAAAAATGGTCATTCGCAACTTACGTATAGAAAAACAGTATTCTTATAGATAGCACACTCTGTAAGTTTCCCCCGATCTTCTGAATTTATTGAAAAAGACAACAGAAAGCTGATAAGCAAAGGAAAGTTAGAAAAGAGACTTGATAATACTCCCTTCTTATATTTGTCATAGATAGACCGTTCACTTGAATGAACACGGTCGAGTTAGAAGAAAAAGATGTGATCACTCAAAGAAGAATTTTATTGGCCTGAAGTTCCGAATTCTCACTCGGATCCATCATCAAAAACGGTTGTAGTTAAAGCGTTCTAGTGAGAATCCGAAACTTTAGGCCAGCAAACTTCTTGCTCCAAACTTCGAGTTAATTCATATCTTCTACAAACGCCGAAGTAACCATATTTGCCCTTACTGATTTCTTAAAACCAATAAGATACAATAACATTGAACAATAAATCGTGAGAGGTTTTGCCGAAACATTGGCTCTCATAGTCAGGTTATCTTTCATCTCTCGGTCCCAGACTGACTAAGTCATGTTGGATTTGTATGTCTCAAGAATGGCAAAATTTAGGGACCCGAGGTAATCATTTGAGAAATACAAAGGACTCATGATAGCAGAGTTTCGAAGATCCTGATCGGCTCACCATTGTCAAAGCGTTAAAGTAAGACCTTCATACAGAAATGTAACTGGCGTGTCAAGCCGTTGACCTTGGGTTGATCGATTTTTTATTTTTTCGCTGTCTCAGCGTGCTGGCGAGCTCCACAGCTGCGTGTGTTATGAGTCGTCACGTTGGTGTTGGAGGGTCGTACGGTCGGGTGGCTTTATTTCTCCCGTATTGGATGAGTTCGTCGTCGAGCTGTCTTCAAGCCTTCTTAAATTCTCCGTGGCCGTCGTGTCCTGGTACTTATGTACGTAATGACTCAGGAAGGTCAAGCTGCATTTTGATGAGCTTGGCGGTTGGAGGTGGAGTTGTATGCCTTCACAAGCATGTTTAAGAAGACAGTTAAGTGTATGTTATCCTCCTGGCACATTCGTATTGACCCAACTGTGAAAAACTCGGCTCCTCGATGAGATTCGAACCCACGACAGCAAGGGGAAGGCTTTAGTACGGTCAAATTTCTAGCCGTCTGAGCTATGAGGCCCCATCGGGAAACGTGAGCTTAATCACATTTGGTTCAATGCACCCGCCCAGTCTAATGCGGCTCATGGAACCGACCAATTCCGATGCAGTAAGCTGACTGCCTAAGCAGGATTTCTTAAGTAATCCACCAGATACCTACCAGGCTCACGTAATTCACCGGTGTTTTAGCAGATTTTGAATAATTCATATTGGCCCAACTGTGTATTTCTTATAAAATCCTGTTTGGACAGTCAGCTGACTGTATCAGATTTTGTGGGTTCTAGGTGTTGCCGTAGGTTGGGCGGGTAACCTGATTTAAATGCGATTAAACCCACGTCTCCCGATGGGACCTCGTAGCTCATTTGGGCAGAGCGTTGGCTGTACTAGGGCCTTCTCCTCGCTGACGTGGGTTCGAATTCTACCGAGGCGCCGAGGCTTTCACAGTTGGGTCAATATGAATTATTCAAAATTTGCCAAAACATCTATGAGTTTCTTTTCGCCCACCTGCGAGAAGTATACTTGGCAAAATGACCACGTGAGTAGTATGACTTTTTCTCAATGGTTTTCGATGTCGTTACAAATTTCAGTGTTTCATTGAAAACATACATGAGAATGTTCATTTGTTTACTCGTTTGGTAGAAAATTACGTCCTCTTCCAATTTTATACTCGAAGGAGTGTAAATTTGGCCTTCAAAATCTTTCCCGGTTCCCGAATAATTTCGAACCTCGACCTGCCGTTACACTTGCCTTCGGGGTTTCCAAACTACAAACTGTATTTTTTGGTGTACGGAAAATCGTATATTGCTATACATTATTTAAAGTAAATCTTGTGAGGCTCATGAAATTTAACAGTGGATTTGAGCCACATTGTATACTTCACAAGCCACATTAGTAAATGCAGGGACGCAATGTTTTATGGAAGGGCATTTCACAATTAGAAACGTTTTCGAAGTCGAGAAAAATAGAAAGAAAAGCGTGGCTAAAGGGCTAGTTATTTATTTCCGAGGAATCATTTAAAGTCGTCCATTAAATTCCAAGCCATGGCCTAGTAGATGAGTATTATTCGCCTGCTCGGCTTTCGTTGTATTCAGTTTGAGAAATCCTCTTTTGCGCACCTGCGTTAAGAGGTACCCGCCTATGAATTACGTGGGCCTGGTAGACATCTGTGTGGATTCTAAGTGAATTACTTAGGAAATCCTGCTTGGGCAGTCAACTTACTGCATCAGATTTGGTTTATTCCAGACGTGTTGCAGTAGGTTGAGCGGGTAAGTTAACCCCAATGTGATTACACTCACGTCGTCCGGCGGGGCCTCGTAGCTCTCGTGGTTAGAGCGTCGGCTGTACTAAAGCCTTCCCCTTGCTGTCGTGGATTCGAATCCCACCGAAGCGCTGCGTTTTTCACAATTGAGTCAATATTACTTATTAAAAATCCGCCGAAACATCTATGGATCTTCTTGACTATCAAACTCGCCTGAGAACATGTCATCACTCTGACCAAAAAGTACTCAGGGAATGGAGCACATTTATTTCAAGCATTCAACCAGAGGAATCAGAGGCCTCGCATACCGGGGTCGAAACTCTTTCTCGTGCTCGTTGAAGATAAATATTGACACGGTAGTTGCTCTGTAGAGTTAGGCGAGTATAACACAAACGCCAGAGTAGTGTTTGCTTGCAAGTCACATCGATCTTAGCGGGGAAAAAAACTCGAGGAAGTGTTGAGTCAAGACGACTGAGTGTGAAAACGGTTCCTCCTAGGGCCTTGGGGTTTAGCTGCGACGCAGCGGTGCGGCAATTTTGAAAGACTAACACCCACTCACCACGGATTCCCTTAGTAACAACATCAAACCTTAATCATCTAGGCATTCGTGTCGTCTGCCCCGAGGAATGAGTGCACTGATGGTCGGCGATGCAGCTTAGTCGAATTAGTCCTAGGTATCCTGTCCCATCCCTACCTCTGCGTTGACGGTGTGCTCCGATGACATGCTTGATCCCAGAAGCTCCTGCAATAGTGTCGTAAAATAGAACGTCCTTCAAATGCTGATCTGGAATGTATCTGAGTGCCAGGAACACACCCCCTCCCAATGCACCTGATGAACCCTTCGAAGGTGGCTCAGGTAGAAGTATCTAGGATCGCCTACGTGACACCTGTTGATAAGTCAGGTTCCTGCATCACAGAGGGACGAATATTATCAGTCCGGAGGCTGGATTGGAGTTCGGCAGGCGTTGCGGGGAATGCGCACCCCTTAACAAATACCAACACTCGAGTTACGGTGGCAGGCCCAGTTGCATGCTGTTGTTGAATATCCGGATCAAGAGTTTGGTACGGACCCGGGGGGGGGGTGTGGTGGCATGCATAGGTGCGAGTTCGGCCAGCAAACTGCGTCCTTCCCTACCTCCATTTTTCTTGACTCTGTCTTGACACCGGACCCACGTGGGGGAGGGGGGAGGAGGAGGAGGAGGAGGAGGAGGAGGAGGAGGAAGAGGAAGAGGAGGGAGTGCGGTAGATGCTGCACGTGCAAGTCACCATCCCTCCTCTCATCCTGCTGTGGGGCACACGGGGGATATCATCGAAATCCCCGATGCCGCCTACAGGCGACTGTCAGATTCATCAAGACGACAGTGAAAAGATAGACTCCGTATTCGCTTCTAATCGGAGCCTGTTCAATTACTGGTGCAACGTCACTGATATAGATGAACAGTAAGGATAATTTCGCGACGACCTGGTGTATCAAAAGAAGAAGAGGCGTTCACCGGTAGGCGCTTATTGGAGGTCCGACGTTTCGAGTAGTTGATTCGTCTACCCGTCTTCAGAGACTGGAAAGTCCTGCGAACAGCTCCCCTTATATGGCGCACTTTGTTCAATGTGTGGCCCGCCAATGCCGCATGTGTGGCTGCATCCGACCCGCATATCACCCTGACCTGAATCGCCCCCGTCGGCCGCGGAGATCATTGACGGACCCGATTGTCCCGCGCCGCGTTCGTAAAGTCAGGTCGGAGGGAGGCCAATTGATGTGGCGGTTGACAGAGCAGTCGGTGGACATCCAGGCTTCTTGCACTTGCCTTGCTGTATGATCACCGCCCCGGCCCACAATCTCAACGGCGTCAGCGTTGGAGATGTGTCCCATTATGCGCGGCATGGATTGCTACCTCCGACTTTGCGTCCAACCTTCGCACGGCCAACTTATGCTCGTGCATTCGCGTTTGCAGCCGTCGGCCGGTTTCCCCAAAGTAGTTGCACCTTCCACAGCTGCACTGAAGTTGGTAGACAACGGCCGACATCTCCTGCTTAGGAATCGGATCGGAACTTCGGACCTCCAATAAACCCTTCCCGGTGAACGCCTCTTCTTCTTTTGATAAGCCGCTAGTGCACTCTGATTAGTTGTCGCCATTGTTGCTGGAAATCGCACATACACCTCGGTGCGATCCAATCTTAAAATAAATCTGACGACTAAAAATAGCTCTCCTTGACAACGTTTCTTGCCGTATAGTGCGACCATAGAACTC